CCGATTAATGTTTCTCTCTCACATCAATGTTTCTCTATGTCTCTCTCTCTCTCTCTCTCTCTCTTTTTCTCACCCTCTCCCTTCCTCTCTCTGAAATAAAAAAAAATATTTAAAAACAAAACACATATTCGTACAAAAGTCTTCGCATATCCCTAAAGTAACTGCATCTCACCCAAATGGAAAAAAAAAAATTTTTTAAGGCCAAGAGAAGACAATATGTCACCTGAAAAAATACAGATGCAGTACTTATTAAGTTGCTGCTTTTTTGTCCTCTTTGGTATTTCTCCTTACTTGCTCTGTTTCAAATTCTTCCTGTTCCTCTTTTTTTTTCTTTTTTCTTTAGTTTAGCATCTTCCATTGTCAGCAAAACAGAACCTAATTTGATGGGAACCCAATTTCAAACATACCTTGTTAAAATTTGCTCTAAAAGCCTAGTTGAATTATAATAATATTCTTTACTTTTGTTGTACTTCAATAAAAGTATACTTTTATATTAGTTATCCATATATTTCATATGCAGCTAATAAATATCTTTTGCCTGATTCTCAAAAGTCTCAATAAGTTTAATTTCAGTTGTTTGATTTATTAGCCTTTGTGGTCCTCAGTATGTTGGTCTGCTGCATAAAGTGATCATCCTAAGATGAAATTAAATAATAATGAACTCCTAATTGTAAAGCATACTTTTTATTATAATGATATCATTTCCATGGGTCTTATTTTAATTCTTCTATCCTTCTTTAATTCCCTCTCTCCCCCTTTTTTAACAGCTAAGGACAAGGTTGCCCTTTTGATAGGAAACATGAATTACTGGGAGCACCCCAAGCTTAAAGCTCCTTTGGTGGATGTGTACGAATTGACCAATTTGTTAAGACAGCTGGATTTCAAAGTTGTTTCACTGTTGGATCTGACTGAATATGAGATGCGCAATGCTGTGGATGAATTTTTACTACTTTTAGACAAAGGAGTGTATGGTAAGATATATATAATCTTCATTTTAATAATTATCTACTATTTTTTCACTTAACAAGTTAGATTAAGAGTTAAAAATCAGAGAAAGATACAATAAATACACTGTTGAAGAGTTTTATTGTAAAAGGTAATAGATTTGGTCTTTATGCTATAGTTCCATATGAATAACTAATTAGCTTAGTGTCTTTACTTTCATGTTTTTTGCTTTGTCAAAACAATATTGTTCTTATTAGAATTCTTACCAATTTTAGGTGATTTTGCTTTTAATTAATGTCATCAATACAAATGACAGGTTGTATACTCACGTATGTGGGTCCATAGTGCTGATGGTGGTGGTAGAGGGTCTTCTAATGAGAGCACTGTGCTAGGTATGCTGCTCTTTAACTCAACTGAGACAAAAATAAATATCTGTAACTAGCTATATTCTTGAAAATCATATTCGCAAGAAATAAAATTCTCTAAAGATCTAATTTATAGGATTATATTTCTAACCCTATTAAATTTTTTGTCATTTATAAAGATATATATGTTGTCCTTTTGTCCTTGAGTAATGGGATAGGTAATTAAAATAATAAGCAGTACTAGATATGGAATTTTTAAAGTACAATGATTTGTTTTAGTTCATTTTACATAAAAACCTTAATCTCCTGCAATATAATTTGGATTTAGACTTTATACAAATGCTTACACTTTTTATAAGTTATTTTGGGGCAGGCAAAAGGTATTTTGTTGAAAGTACCTTCATTTCAGTGATTGCAGCACTGGGAATATGGCAATGAAATAATGGGCCACGCTTAGCTTTGGAGGCTAAACTTTTACTCCACATTGCTTCTGTTCCCAAGACAATCCTTTTAGAGCCAGGCATGTTAGTGATACAGTGGGAGTGAAACCCCCGCTCTCTGCATGGCTGTCTCTAAGTAAGATCAGTTGTAGAAATGTTACCATTCCCACTGGAAATCAGAGCCTTTACAAAAGGTTTCCAGATCTACCTCTGTCCTGATTGGCTCGCATTGTTAATTTAATACATTCATTATGTTTATACTGAGTTCCTATTATATCCATAGCCCAGATAAGGAGCATGCTAGATATTGAGGGTCATCCAGAAAATAAGGAACATGATCTACTCTCACATTGTAAGTCCCTTAATGTAGTGAGAAAAAAAATGCTGTACATGGAGTCCAAACACCTACTAGCTGTATTATGTTAAACAAATCACGTAATCTCTTTAAATTTAATTTTTTTTATCTTATAGGGAGATAAATCATTTAAAGATTATTATATGGATTAAAATGGGATTGTGTATATGAAGCTGCTTTGAAAACCATTAAAATGTTATAAGATCAATGTCTTTATTGTGATCACTTTTTGTCAGAGAAATTAAATATACATAGAACTGTAAAATGTCCGTAAAGCTAGTATGTGTTTAGAATCAGTGTGCCGCAAGAGGGTCGAGAGTGTGAGAAGAGCAGAAACCAGGTGACAACTGGCTGAGGATTCGGAACTTATGTCGACATAACTCTGAGGATTGGTTAGATATGGGTAGATAGACTGGAGAGAGGGTGCCTTGAGCAGGGAAATGGAGGTAAAAAAAATAAGCATACCTTTCTCTAGAAGCAGTAAAGAGACTGATAGGGAATAGTCATATTTTGAATACTTGATAGAGAAGTATAAATTTTATTCTTTTAAAGTGTACAGTTTAGTGGTTTTTAGTATGTTCCCAAGTTTTACATCTATCACCTAATTCCAGAACATCTTCATCACCCCAAAAAGAAGCCCCATATCCATTAGCAGTCACTCTCCATTCCTCATCTCAAGCCCCTGGCAACAACAAATCTACTTGCTGACTCTAGGGATTTGCCTATTTGAGGCATTTCATAGAAATGGAATCATTCCATATGTGGCCTTTTTGTATCTGGCTTCTTTCACTTAGCATAATGTTTGTAGGGTCCATCCATGTTGTAGCATTATCTTTATGGCTGGGCAATCTTTCATTATATGGATAGACCACATTTTGTTTATCCATCAGAAGATGGACCTTCAGGGTGTTTCCCTTTTTGGATATTGTGAATAATGCTGCGGTGAATATTCATATATATTCTTGTGGGCATGTTTTCAGTTCTCTTGGCTAGGTAACTTGGGGTGGAATTGCTAAGTCATAGGATACTCTAAGTTTAACTTTCTGAGGAACTGCCTAACTCTTTCCAACTTGCCTGCACTATTGTATATTCTTGCTGGAAATAAATGAGGTTTCCAGTCCCTCTACATCCTTGCCAACACTTGTTATTGCCAGTTTTTTTATTATAACTATCCTAAGAAGTGCAAAGTGGTACCTTTATTCTGTTTTGAATCTCCCTAATGGCTAATGATGTTGGGCATCGCTTCATGTGCTTATTTGCCATTTGTATATTCTCTTTGGAGAAATGTTTATTCAAATCCTTTGCCCAGTTTTTACTTGGGTATTTGTCCTTTTAATTGTTGAAAATAAGAGCCCTTTATGTATTCTGGATACAAGCTGTACTTGTAGATATATGATTTGCAAATACTTTCTCTATTCTCTAGGTCAGTGGTCGGCAAACCGTGGCTCGCAAGCCACATGCGGCTCTTTGGCCCCGTGAGTGTAGCTCTTCCACAAAACACCATGTGCAGGCACGCACGTACCGTGCGATTGAAACTTCGTGGCCCGTGCACAGAAGTCGGTATTTTGTGGAAGAGCCACACTCAAGGGGCCGAAGAGCTGCATGTGGCTCGTGAGCCGCAGTTTGCTGACCACTGCTCTGGGTTGTCTTTTCGCTTGCTTGATCTTCATTACTTAGTGAATGAAACCCACTTCCTTTGTCATAATTTTTATTTTTTTTTCCTTTGTCATAATTTTTAAAATACTCCCTATCTGTATGCTCTTACTTTTATGTATTATGATTATTTAATTCCTTGCCAAAATAGTATTCTTCCTGTTAGCTGTCATTCAGGTCCAAGCCCTGTTTGCTTCTGTTCTCCCTACGCAATATCTC